AATGAAATGTGTTGCATGTAAATTACTTCTTACATAGCAAACTGAGGGTTTACACTAGAGTGCAATCCTGTTCATGCCTACTTAAAAGCAAGTCCCACTGATTTCACTGGGGTCTACTCCAAGGAAACTTGCTATAGGGTTGCAGTCATGTGCCATGACTGGAGTGACTTAGTTTAACTAATGCTTAGCACGGGCATTATGTGTTTGTGTGTGTGTTTCAGGTTGTACTGCCTTTCTGCATTAATGACTGCCTGATCTTTCCAAGAATGCTGAACCACCCTGAATTTCCATGAATGCTGAACTACCCTGTACTTCTCCTTTCACTGTGTAGCTAGTTTTAATTGCATTGGGTAGCGGCCATCATGCTGCTACTATAGATTTGACTCTGGCTTTAAAATAAACAATATGACATTGTTGCTCATTATAAGAAGTAATAAATAAGGCTAAATTATTCCAACCCACATCAGATATCAAACAGACTACACAATTGTCTTTCAAAAGAACTTTCCAACAAATCAAGTTGCACAGCTTATGCAGGTGGAGAGATACCTCAGCCTTGCTCTACCTGGACACCTGAGCAGGGAAAATGAAATAAAAATATCCCAACTACTCATCATATACTATGAAAAATGCCTATCCTAAGCTGAACATTAAAAATTTCTAGCCTGCCCTACAGCATAGCAGGCCATGTCGTGGGCATTACTTGTTCCAAAGCAAAACTGGATTTCTGCATTGGTGGTTCTTGTGGTTCCCGTGTTTCTATGCCCTGGGAGATGCAGAGAAGTGTGGTACTGAGCAAGTACAGGTAAGCCAACATTACAAGCAAGACTAGCACTGAATATGTGGACCTGCTGAATGAACTGCATTGCTGCACCGGCAGAGAATATATTTATCTTCACTTTGTCCATTTCAGATCCAGCAGATTCCTTCCCTTCCTCCCCATGTTCTTCCCTCTTTCCTGCTGACCCAACCCAGCTTGATCACACACCGGTATGACTCTACTAGCTTCTCCCAACCCAAGTCATCTCTTCCCAAAGACCCAGCCCATCTACACCCACTTCCTTGCCCAGCAATGTAATAGCTTTGCCTCTCCTTCCACCTACCACTCCTAGATGCATCAGACGCTAAAGCAGCTCTTTGAAGATGATTCCTTTTGAGCCAAAAGGAAAACAGGCCAGAAAGATTTGGCTGTTTGACAGCATGTATCTCCATATAATTAGAATGGATGTGTGTATGATGCTGCATTAATCAATTTTTTTTGAAAGGTTCTAGTCCTTGTGGCCATGCAGGAAATCAGTGAACTGTGTCTGCCTGAAAATAACACGAGGAGCCTTTGATAAGCTGAAGCTAAAATCAGGGAGTGAGTGGTGTTTCTTATGGTCTTCACAGTTTTGCATCTGACTCCTGTACGCCCCATCCTTTCACTGACTGGGGTCACATGTCATGACAAGCAACCCTGTGCGGTTTCCATAGTGTGTGTCTTTTGTCCGGTTGTGCCTGAAGTGGTTTCTATGCTAGCATGGTTTCCATCCTCTTCACTCAGTCCTCCCACTGTTGGCACATATCCCGTCAGCCACTGCACTTGAATTCAATCTCATGCTGGAAGGCTGGAGCAACCCCTGCAGTTGCTGCTTTTTCCAGGGGACTCTGTGGTAGCTGTATACCTGAACCATGGAAATCACAATGCCGGGTCTGGATGACTGAAGAAACCATGGTGGAGTATGGAAATCATAGAACAGACTGTTGTTTCTGAAAACCAAAAGTACCACAAGAGGGTTTGGACAACACAACAGACCAACCTGTACAAGAAATCACCATGGCTTGTCATGTTGTATTATCCCACCCATCGCGTAGCTACAACTTTACTTATACTGGGCCATAGTATCTACTGTGCTACATGAGATTTGGGCCTCCTTAAAATAAACCAACAGAAGGTGGACAGCCCTCTAATATCCTCCACCTCACTTTTATATATATTGAATCCTGAAAATACGCAAAGGCAAATCTACAAAATAAATGAAGCAAAAATATGTTTTTCTGTATTGTTCATTCAAAATGTGTCTCTGTTTCCTCAGGCTACACTTGGGAATTCTGCAAAAAAGACTGCACCCAGACTTGCTTCCAGAAAACTGACTGGACATATGCCTGATAATTAAACTTGCATATCCTCCAGCCTGACACTTCTGAAAGGCAGGGCATGCCTGTGTTGACCTGGCCAAGTTTGCATGGGGTAGCCTTCCCGGTTCATTTTCACTGGGGAGCTATTGGTAATGAACACCTGGTGCAGGAAAAACTCAGAAGTTCCTGCCTCACAGAAGCACGTCTGAGAAGTAGCAACTTTTATTATATATTAGATTTATATCCCACCTCTTCCCTTCTTGCAAGGAACCCAAGGTGGCTTATGTGGTCCTTCTCTCCATTTTTATCCTTGCAAATGTTTTCTTCTTATCCATGCCAACAGAACACAATCTAAGCCTATACACCTGACAGAAGAAGGGTAAATGCTACCCCGCTTACCGTTGACAAAAACATGACTGACTCCCTTTCATGTCCGAAACCTCATCAGATTCACAGAACTGGGGCTGCTCTCCACTGAATAATGGTCATTCAAATTCAGGTAAACGCCCTGGCACTTCTAACCACTGCGAGGCTTTCTTCATGTATTCAAATATTTCAAGACAGTCCCTTGAATTTGGATGTGGCAGGCAAGTCATTATTTAGCAAACCTATCATCTCCCCTCACAGGCCAGCCTCACAATTCAGCAGGGGCTAAAAATAAATGGCTCTGCACAATTAAGAGCCACTTGTAAGTGAGCAGCACTGATCCCGTTCACTTTGTTGTCACAAAACTAGGACAATCTTGCTCTCAATTAACCGCTTGGTGTGTGCAGTGCTCTGAAAAGACAAGTTAGCAGAAGGAATGAAATGCCAAGTTCTAAGTTTCACTGCTTTATCATCCTTTCATTTCTTGATCAAAGACTCATGTGAGCACTACTAATTTGCTAAGAAATTAAACATGAAAGGGGAATGCAATTCCCCAACTCACAGAAGAACACTGTGGGCAGTTAATGATTAATTAGCATTATAATGCGTGACAGGCTGGTTTCACAGAAGACACTTGTTTTGATACTGAATTTGTTCAGCAGAAGAAATTTTTAGGATGATGCCAGGATGGATGTTACAAGAAGGGCCAGAAAGTTTCCCTGTGAGTCTGCTAGAGCTGATGCACGGATCATGCAGTCACAGATAGTTCAAGACACATCCTAATCTTGTTAGGTTTCTTCACAGACCATGGCAAGGAATTAGGATGAGTCCCCTAAAAAGCACACATCCTTAGCTCGCAATGTAAAAGGACCCATGTAAGTTGCTATACCTGCCCTTCTAAAATGATAAAGGGGTATTCCAAAAGTGTGGCTGTTGCAGAGAACAAAACATAAGGACAGGACAGATTTTGTTTCTAGGTGAAAGGTTGGGAGCTTAAGAGGCCCTGATTAAAAGCAACACTGCAGGACTAGAATCTTTTAATGAAGGACATGCGAAACAAGAAGAGAACATTTTGTTCAGAGAATTACTTCGATGGGTCCTCAGGCAACTTCTGTGGTTCACAAACCTTATATTATGTGCTAACTAAAAGAAGCCAGGGCAATGTAAAACATCCACACTGTCAGATCAATAGTCCATTGAGCCTTGTAACCTGTTGCTAAATTCACTGAAGTGCACCAACCAATGAACACTGCTTCTGAAACATCAAAAATAGACTGGAGTAAAAGTTGGGAATTACGACCCAGAAGATCAATTCAGTAATGTTTGCCCTGTTTCTTGCTCTTCCTCTTTTCTATGAGTGCTGTTGAAGAAGCACATGAAGGTCTAAATGGACCTCTTTCTGACTCAACAGGGACATTTCAACAGGCATTTATCCTTAGTTTGACATCAGTCATTCAAGACTGCTTAACTGTAGTTGAATGGAGAGCGGAAAACTGTTCTTTGGGCAAGCATTTTCCAAAACTGATTTGATATTGCCTTGCAATGTAAAAATAAACAAGAGCTTATCCAGATGATTTGCAAAACAAAGCAGAAGAAAAGTCTCATGATTTATGTTATTCTCTACGAAGCTACCATTCATACGCAACAAACCAGTATCAACTGACAGAGAAGAGAGCAATGAGAAATAATGAGGAAATTTTACACAATATGCCCATCCAGAGCACAATATTTATGCTTACTGAAGCACAAGCTCCAAGTATGAAACCATTATTTAGTACGGGATTATGAAAAGGAGATTAACTAAATAGCTGATTTGGTAATTAGACCATTATTTAATTATGCATTCTTTCATTAAATATATTTCTGTACCACCCCATAGCCAATGCTCCCTGGGCATTTAAAAAAAAATACAAAATCTTCAGGACTTTGAGTTTCATCTAAGTACCACAGGCAAGGTAATCTAAGACAAACATTAAATTTTGGGGAAAGTAAATAATGTCCAACATGTGGAACCCTAAGCATTTGCATGTGAATTTATAGCCATTTTAATAGGGCTCTCAAGTTTTGGTTAGCTGGCTCTCAAAATAATAGGAAAGATTGCGCAACCTGAACCTATGTTCAGTTAAGTATTTCTTGAAATGTGGAATGAGCCCCCTTTTCCCCTTTCATGTCATTGTGTTTTACAGGGTTAAAACCCCCCTCAAGCCTTACTCATGTGAGTTGCTTTTATTCATGCAAGTAATAAGGCCCATTCTAATGAGTAGGAGGTTGAATGATTAATAGGCAGCTTTTCACTTATTGCAACAGCATGGAAGTACATGTGATGGGCTTTCCAATAGCTACACCATGGAACATACTCTGCACAGGCAAGGTGTTAGAAGTGGAAGTTGCTTGGAGCAAGGGGATCCATTCGGCACATTCTGTGTGCAGCTATTCTAGGTACCACAGCAGCGAAGCTGAACACACAATGTATTATTTATTCACACACAATAAATGCCGCTCTTAGCAGTGCTCACCTTGGACTGGCAGCTGGCTTCCAGTATCTGCAGAAAAGGTGCTGACCATCGGCATTGACCAAATGAGGCAGGTCCTGATACGGGACATTCTGGGGAGTCCTCCGTGGGGAACTTTCCTCTGGCATTCTGGAAGAGTGACCTACAAGATATGGGGGGGAAAGCAAGACACGCTTGTTTTTGTCCGCAAATCAGCTGGAAAGAATGCCAGTAATGGAATCTGCTAATATACCATGCACTTGAAAAGAGCTCCATAAATCAACTGATGCTATCCAAGAAATCTCTTTCACTTTCTAAAGATACACAAACCTAAGCCAGCTCTATGCAACTGCTTTGCAGGCTAAAGGCTGGCACATTTTTCTGCTTGGGGAAAACACTCACAGAGAAAAAGCACCTAACCACACCACCTCATTTCGGCATGTATTCTTCCCCTTCTTTCCTTCCCTTCTCGCTCATTTATTTGTCATCATTTAGGGAAGCGGATCTTACCAACAAAAAATACAAAATAAAAAAGCTGTAATCAAGTGCAAATTGTGAAGCTCCTGCATAGATAAAGAAACCAGCTGCATAAAAGATTCATCATCTCCTTCCTTTAAAAAAAATCTCCAAAGAACGGCACGAGAAACCCTGTAATGAGGTGACTGACACTGCCTTGTTGCTATGATCCTTTCTGACATCTGGGGAAACGCGGACTGGAGGGGGGTGTTAAAAAAAAAACTAGAGAAGAGAATGTCGTAACAAACCTGATTTCATCCTGTGCACGGTTTTGCATTCCAAAGAGAAGCCTGCATTGCAAGTCAACTGCAATCAGAAAAAGCGCTTTGCACGTCGCCGATGAGCAGCAGGAACACCCTGCCTAACATCCAGCTCCCCCCTAGTGCCTAGAATCAATTCTTCACCGTTGCAAAAAGGCAGCTTCGCTTAGCCTCTACTGGCAGTAACCGACTTCTCACTCCGCCTTTGCAAGCTCCTGTGCTCTACAGGGGCTGGGCTGCCGCCGCCGATCGGTTCTCCTCGCTCTGCCAGTTCCCCCCCCCCGCACACGCACATGCACACGCGCGCACACACCACGCCGGCTCCCCTTTGCAATCGTGCTCTCCGGGAGGAGGAAACTGCTCTCAATCCATTTACCACTTCTTGGTCATTTCATCACTTCCCCCCTCTTCTTCTCGAGCAAATCGCTTGTGTGGGCCGGAGGGAGGAAGAAGCGGGGAAGCTGTGTGATGAAGAACGGTGGTGGGAAGCAACAGTCCGTTTCCTAGAAGCTGCTGCACGCGGGCGCGCACACACACATAGCAAAGGCACCTTGAACACTAGAAGTTCCCAAGCGGGGCCGGCTGGTTAGCGGCAGGTTGGCTTTCAAACTTTCCTTCTTGTCCTTGACAATGCAAGGTAGATAGAAGCAGCGGAGAGGGGAGCGGGCAGCGTGTAGCGTGTGAATAATATTAACTGCAATCCCTGTTGGAAAATATCTGGGGTTGCTTCCCCACCGTTTTTATGAAAATCTGCTCAAACAGCCCGGTTTTCCCACAAGCACGGGAGCTTCTTAAAAGCAACCTTGCTCGTGAGTGCGTGCGTGCGGGCGTGCGCATGTATGTGTGAGCGTGTGTACACAACGCGCGTTTTTAAAGGGCGTCGGGCAGGAAGGCACTAATCTTTGACAACGAGCCGCCGACCAGATAGATACCGAATTCCGTTTATGCCAGCCCGCAATCGCGGCGGCGGGGGAGCACGGTCCGCGCCCGGTCGGGGCGCACGTCGTCTTGGAGGGCGCTGGAGGAGGCGGGCTGGAGGAGAGGGAGGGCGGGCTTAGTTACCAGGTGCCGAGGCGCGCTGCCGCCGCCGCCGGGCTCGTCGCCTTGCCGCTGGTGGTGCCAGGCGCGGAGGATCCGCTCGCTCCGCTCTCGCACGTGGGTGAGCGCGGACTGGCCGGAGCGCCGGAGGTTTATTGAGGGCAGGGAAAATGGAGTGCCGCTCCCCGCCTGGCAAAGGCTGGAAGAGGAGGAGCGGCGGTGCGGTGGCAGCCGGAGTCTCTCTTCTCCCGCTGCCCCGCTCAGCGACTCTCCTTGTTGCAGCGCTCACTTGTGGCCATGCGTGACCTTTCCTTGAGCGCCGCGCCTGCGGCCAGATGGCTCTCGCTCGGTGTGGGGCGTGCCTGCCCGAGAGCGCACCAGCGAGCGCGGAAGTCGAGATGCTATTTATTCCTTCTAACGAAACCTCCACAGGCATCTAAGGAGCTTGAAGTCCACGGCAGCCTTGCCCTACCCGGTGCTCTGCGATGGGCTGGCCGACAACTCCCCTGACTGTTCCCAAATATTGGAAGGACAGAGCTGTAGGCTGCGGATAGCCTGCCCTGTGCCCCCTACGCTAGCCTGTTGAGCTGAAATAATATCTACCTGCCAGACCACTCAGCCAGGTGGGTTTGGAGTGCCATCTTGTCCTCCCGACTCAGGCAATATCATGGCTTGGTCTGCTCTGGGGTGCATACCGCTGCGCTTTCCTGGCCCCTGTGCTGGAGATAATGTTGCTCTGGTGTGGCAGGAGAGGGAAGAATCTTGCCCCTTCTTACCTATTTAGCAGCAAGATGGGTAACATTTGAGAAACTGTCCGCTCTGTGCAGGAGACGGGGTCAGTAGCTAATAACAGGAAGGGCGGAGGGGATTCTTACCTTTGCAGAATCCTGCCTTAGCTTTAGAAGGCCATGTGAAGTGGGTGGATATGATTTAGGTAAATTTGCTGGGAGGGTGGATGGATTTGATTAGCACTCCTTCCCCTGCTTGGCTTATATTTCAAGCACTGAGTGGGGTACTGCTATGTAACAGGGGAGGCTAAATGTGAAGGTAGCTCCTGGGCCATAACCTTAGATCTGTAATTTATTATGAATTGCATTAATGAGAGTTGAATTCCAAATACATGTGCTTAATAGAATAGGGTAGAATCAGTGGAGGAATAGTTAAGATTATAAGATTCAGAATAACTTATGTTCTAATGTTGCCTTACTAGGTTGTCTCAGTACAGCTCCAATCATGGGTATTATAAGAAACATTATTTTACTGTACTAGGGAAGGTCATAGGGCAGTAGGTGGGAATATGCATTATGTGCAACAAAAAAAGTACTGCAGCCAGTAGGAGTAGGTAGTACTAAGTTAATTGGACCAGAGGATTTAATGGACTACTTCGCATGATCATTCAGCGTTATTTTACAGGAACACTGTAAAGGCTACTGAGTCTACATTGGCACCCTTTTTGTTTCCAAGAGACCACTGTTCCAATATCTTTTCCCACATACAATTCCTGCTCTGTAGCCATATGGTAATGAATACAGTGCAGTATCTGCTAGGGTTGTAATGTAATTAAGTTCCATATATCAGTGCATAGTGTTGTAATTGTAGGAGAAATAGGAGTTTGAAAGGTCATGTGTGCTTTATCATTTGTGTTTATATTGTGTGTTACAAGCTACACTATAATGATGCTGTAATTGCAGGAAAAGTGGGAGGCCGTGCTGCTGTTTCAGGGTTTTTGTTTTTAGTCCAATGACTACAGATGCAGCTGTCCCAGAATGCATGTTTCCAGTAAAAAAAAAAAAAAGTGTGGTTCACCACGCAGATGCACTTAGAAAATTATCTTCCCAAAAAAACGGCTGACCAGGTACCCTCATTGTCAAGGAGAAGAGATGAAGGGCAACCAGGGATTTTCTGAATCCCTTCTCCAGCTTGATGCCAATAATGAAGGTGGAGGAAAATGTTGCACAACGGGTTCTACAGCTGTCAAGCCACTCCTACTGCTAAGAAGCATTGGCAGTTTGGAACACACTCAGTAGCATATGGAAACTGCAGTAACTGAAGGCAGAAGGGGTAGGGGACAATCACAGAAGTGATCTGCAAGGAAACTGCATTGAGGGGAGAATAGCATCAGGAAACTGCAGTAGAAGGAGTCTCATCTGCACAAGTAAGCCAGATAAAAAAGTACTGATTTTTTAAAAACTTAGTGCAGATTGGTCTGACATAATAGCATACAGTATAAGCGCTATTTAAATTCTGCATTGTTATTAATGGTTTTGGAGTGTGCTAGAAAGTAAAAAATAACCCCTCAGATATTCCTGGAGATTAAAATCACACACCCCTGTACATACTGACTTTAAGCAATGACCAAATCCCAATACATTTCATCAGAATGAAAGCTGCAAGGACCCTTTGTTTTAAAGGATGGGTCTTTTTTCAGAATGTGAAGCCCTTGCAGAACAGTTTGTATCCTTTGTGAATGTGACATTTCCATAAAATTATGCACAATGTTCAGTAGAGGCTTATTTCTAAATGCAATAAAGTGTGCATCCAATTAAACTTTAAGTAACATAGAATCCATGTAAGGGATAAACTAAGAATCAGTTTAATAATAGTTAAGCCAGTATTCCAAAGGAGGTGATTCAACGCAAGATATATTTGTCACTCTGGAGTAATTAAAACATTGGGTTGTGTCTGGTGTTAGTCCCACTTAAGAGTAGATGTACTGATATGAGTGAGACTTAAATTAGACTAACATTGGAAACACACTCTTGTAGACTAACTTTGTTATGAACAAATAGTAAAGGCGCATTTATAGCATTGAAGGCCTGGTGACTTGAAAGCTAAAAGTTTCCTTTTGATTTTAATGATAATTGCATACTTGCTTACCTTTCACCCACTAAAAACAATGAGGCATCACTTCATCTTAATAGTGTTATTAGATTGAGTGTACTGCCTTCTTTTTCAGAGGCTTAGATTATGTTTTCACTCAAAGCTGTTGCAAAGCAAAATGCTTCAAGTCAGTTCAGGATTTGAATGCTTCTGATTTAAAAAGCCATAGAGCTCAGCTGTTCATACTCAGCCACTAAACAACTCACATAGTAACAACAAGGTAAGTCAAACAAGCACAGTGTATACAGAGAATGTGCAGGATCTTCCTAAATTTATTTATTTATTACATTTCTATATCAGCCATTAGCTGACACTCTAATCCCAAGAGATCTTGTAAGCCGGAGAATGCTGAAACATGGCCTTTACATAATACCCTTTCCGGTAATCCAAAAAGCCAATCAATAGCTTCAGATACAACAGAACTTCTTGTATATTTTAAACAGTGCCTTAAATACAAAAGGATATATGAGCAAAACCAACTATAAACAATGCAAAGCTGATTAAAAACTATAGTGGTCCCATACGAAAAAAAATATAAAGCTAATGAGATAGTGGCCTGTTTGGATGTTCACACTGTGGTTTAGCAAACCAGGGTACACCTCACTGTTGTGCACTCTTTACTACCATTTTGTTTCTTCCATTATATAAGTGAGAAAACAACCTAGGAAACCACAGTTAACTATAGTACTGGAAAGTTACCAAACTGGAAAGTTATGGTTTAAGCAGCAAACAAAGATTCTAAACAAACCAAGATTCTTCAGCCAACTGTACATCTGTTTTTGCTACTTGCCATCAAGTGGTCTCCTACTTATGGTGATCCTATGATTGAAAACCATCCAAACATCGTATCCTTAACAGCTCTGCTCAGCTCTTACAAATTCAAGGCAATGGCTTCCTTTATGGAATCAATCTATCCCATTTTTGGTCTTCCTTTCCTTCTTCTGCCTTTGATATTTGCTAGCATTTTCTTCTCCAGTGAGCCTTACCCTAAAATAATAGTTTGATATACAGTGGTACCTTGGCTCATGAACGCCTCCCCGAGTGGGAAGATGGCCGTGATCATGGGGGGGGGGGGGGGGAGCTGGCCAAGATTGCGCCCATCTTTCCTGCATGAGCGCAACTGCAAACTCAGCCATCTCCCCGCCAGCACAATCACGCCCATCCCCTCCTGAGCGTGCCTGCATTCGCGCCCATCTCTCCCCCCTGAGCGTGCCCGTGATCATGCCCATCTCCCCCCTCCCCAGTGTGCCAGGATGACGGGCGTGTGCAGGGATGACAGGCACGATCTTGGTTGTGCTGGGGGG